AGCAGTAAAAGGACCTGGCTAATGCTACTCAGAGACGTATTCATCCAAAGTTACTCCCAGCAGCAACTGGTGAATGACTGGACCGCTTCCAGTATCACTGCCTTTGTCAGCTTGGATTAGATACATTCTGGCTGCATCCTACCGCTTCACTTCTTAGCTCTGCTTAAATAACCAAAGAAAAGAGAGACAGAACATAAAGCAAGTTATAGAGAGTCTAACAGAATATAACATCTGAAACTGGTATGACTTCCACCTTTCTATGAACTATGCCCAAAAGTTCAAATGCACAACATTTTCAATGCAGGATACTACCATGGGTCTACATAAGCAGCAAAGAAGAACAATGATCTAAGGCTTTCCCTCTCACGGGCTGTTGCTGAAACTGCTGAAACTGTTGCCAAAGTAGCTCACTACCCTGAAAGCTTCTTGTGGGCAATCGTCATTTTGAATAAATCTTTGTCAAAATGAGGACTCATTTTTCAGTAAAATTTGTTGTACCTAAATAAGGAATTTAAGCCATAGTCATGGGCTATTGAACAAATTTATCAAACAGTGTTTAAAGTGATATATATTTAAAGAAAAGAAGCCAAAATTGTATTAATAGAAGTTTTCCACGGTGTCCAAAAGGCATAATAATGACCAGAAAAACATAACAAGTGGAAGACATCAGAAGATTAAATATATTAGACTCCAGATATCCTATTAGTGAAAAGAAAATAAACCAAATTAAATTATAGCCATATCTAAACTCTTACTCTCTGTAAGCTTCTGTTTAATCATTTTTAAATGATACAGCTGTCTTCAAAAGAATTTTGTGACTATTAGATTATGCATGTGGAATCTACTGGTATGGTAATTAGCACATAATAGAAACTAAATACAATCATTTCAACATGAAAAAACCTGGACAGAGTGTTTACACCCATTGGGTCAGAGAAAATATAATTTTTAAAAAGAACATGGCCGGGCGCGGTGGCTCACACCTGTAATCCCAGCACTTTGGGAGGCCGAGGCGGGCGGATCACAAGGTCAGGAGATCGAGACCACGGTGAAACCCCGTCTCTACTAAAAATACAAAAAATTAGCCGGGCGCGGTGGCGGGCGCCTGTAGTCCCAGCTACTCCGGAGGCTGAGGCAGGAGAATGGCGTAAACCCGGGAGGCGGAGCTTGCAGTGAGCTGAGATCGGGTCACTGCACTCCAGCCTGGGTGACAGAGCAAGACTCCGTTTAAAAAAATAAAAAAAGAACATGGACTCCTTGGGACAAGGTATGAGAGAAGGCTCTGAATGTGATATTAGACCCCAGGTGTTCTTATACTCACACTCACACTGGAAGCAACTGGGCGGTACCAGCGGGCATCAGTTCCTGCTCCAGAAGTCTACAGCAGGAGTACAGGAGACCAACTTTTAATACTACTACACTGAGTGACAAAGCTGGCAGGGAGGTAACTCTCAGTGGGTGACTGGGAAGGTACGCAGGATATAGGGATTTGTTAGTGGATTTTAACTGTCACTTCATGAAATATATATGATGGAATGGGAACTCCAAGAGCCTGAAGCACTTGATGCCATCCAAAATGGGCCTGTTTTTCCTTAATCCAGAGCCACCCTGGAGGTGCCAGGTAGGCAGCAAGCCAGTAGGGCCATGACTAGGTAACAGTATCACCAACGGATTCAAGAAGGCCCTTTCACCTCTGAGTTTATCACTGGAAGTAAAACACAATGGGGGACTGAGTGATGCACTGTGATTGTCCCCGCTGCTCCTGAGGGATGCCCTCAAGGGACAATCTGTGCCCAAAAAGGAATGCAGAGTAAAAGGAAAGGAACATTTCCTGACATTTTACTCCTTTTTGTACAACAGCTAAAGAGAATTGTTGGTGAAGCTCAAACTGTGGTAGGTATCCCCAAGAATCCAAAATGCTGCACAGTTAAGAGGGTATAGGTGGGAGCCCAGTGACTGCTGGCTGCAATTTCCACTGAGTGTGTAATCTTGCTAAAAAACTGGGATAATAACTTTTCTTTGTATTTATTTATCAATATATATTTATTACAAAGTAGTATATAAAATAATATATAATTGTTTCACAAGGTTTCCCTTCCTCCTTGCAGGCATCTGAAATGTCTATCGAGGAAATATCTGCTTGAAAATACTATCAGAAAAATCTGAGCTGACACCTCTGTTTTTCCTCTTCTTCCAGATAAAAAGATGACAGAAGCCAGTGGACTTCATATCACTACAGAGGAGAGAGAACATTTGTAAGTAATGGGTGGTTATTTTTATTAAGTATAATTAAGATTTTTTAATTCTTATATTTACAGTAAAAGAAAAAAAATTGTACAATCCACAATGACTCAAGGCAGGAGAATGACCCTCAGTGTGTAAAACTCTGAACAGTGTGGCAGGAACAGAGATGTTCTCAAAGAGCAAAAAGCCTGCTCCTGAATCAGGAAAATCTGGATGGAAGAGCAGCAAGAATAGCTCCAAGTATTTTAGCTAAGAATTTGGAAGAAAATCTACTTCTCCTTTCTCTCACATTTTCTCTTGTCCTTCTTCAATTTTTCATTAACAACCACTCATTCCAGAGCCACCCTAGACACACGAGAGGCTTCTTCTCAAAAACTCCTTATTCTTCCCTTAATTTTGAGGTGAGTTTACACTGACTCTAACCAAGAATGAAACAGGGCTTCTCATTCAAAGAAAACACCCCTGAAACAGACTTGTCCTTTCAAGATTACATCTCTTTGCCCTATTTACATGCAACCTTACCAGTTGGTGCAAGTGTATAAGTTATGGTTACACAAAAGAATGTGGGAACCCTTTCTGCACATGCTTCAGTTAAGTCTCAAATATAGAAAATTTCAGTTGTCTCGTTCTGGTTTAACACATCCTACTATCCCTTCCAATGATTGAATTTCCAGTCCGAAGCCTTCTTTATTGAGCCTATAACCTTAGAAATATGCTTTATAGCTTCCCATTTTAACTCATCAGTCTATTTGTATGCCATGGTTGGTCTCTCTGAAAGAACACAAAATTATTTTTATATTTGGATCTCCCTTCAGCATTCGATGATCACTGTTAGCCTGGCAGATACCTGCCTCGCTGCCTCAGGTGATGTATCTAATGTGAACTATAGAACCTATGAGAAATATGTAAATAATATTTTCCCATGATATATAACCTCAGTTCCTAACACAGATGTCCTGAGGCAAATCTTCCAAATTCACAGGCAAAAATTTGATATAAGTAAGTTACATGTGAACCAATTCAATCAGATGCAATGAGAGAAAACAGCTAGCATATGATATACATCGCTGAAAGCTGTGCAGAATAAAAACTTGGATTTTAGAATCAATATATTTAGAAGCACAATAGAATTCCAATGGTACATTTAAACATGTGAGAGTGCTTTTCTACTCTAAAACTGGAAAGGAGAGGGGAGTAGGATTTAATGAGATAATGAACATTATATAACTGTCACAATAAATGTTTAATACATGGCAATGGTGGTTGTTATGCTTACTATCTTAGAAGTCAAATGTTCTTTAAAGAAAGTGTCCAAAAGTAGATTTGCATCATAAATGGTGCCAAGAATTAGGGCAAAGGGCAGGTCAAAGAGGAATAGGGGGTATAATGTAGCAGTTGTCAGCTTTGGTTAGTAACCTGGTTAATGTCCTTCTCTATTATAAATAGGGATCTAATTCAAAGGAAGGAAAGGTCTAATACTACACAATATACCCTTGCAACCATCTGAGCTGACAAAAAAAGCAGGGTCCCACAATAGCAGAGGCTTATGAGAAAAGGTCTGAACTGAATATATAAACACCTAAGTTTTAGGCCTCCTTCTTCTAACAGCCAAGATAACTTTGTATCATTCTAACGTCTCTGGTCTCTATTTCTGTGATATGAGGAAATTGAGCTTAATAAAACTAGAGGTCCTTTCTGACACTAACATTCTACACTGGTGTATTCCTATCACACTTTTAAAGTTAAATTTATGGTTTATTTTTTATTTTTTAATATAAGATAATTCATCACCAGTATAGTAACAAGATGAGAAGGCATCTGAGCTAAGGAAATAGATGTTTTTCCATCCGCCTCTTGTTGTCTTTCTATTATAGAGCAAGATCTTCCTAGTAAAGGGGTGAAGGCAACTTTTCTCTGTGTCAAATTAGCTGTTGCTCAGCAAATAGAAGTTAAATGCCGCTATACGAAGCAAATAAACACGTGCTAGCATGAAATCTGTGGCAGCATCCTCAGTACCCTACTTCAGTCAACAGAACTATCCAGGACAGATCTCCTAAAAACATAAGTTATTGACAATATAATGAGATTCTCTTTTTGTACTGACCTAATTCAATTTTAGATTATGTTTAAACTGATTTTTCTTAGAATTTTTCAAAATACCATACAAAATTTTCTTTGTAATAGGGAGAAATTATATGTATAAATACTTGAATATGTGTATCACAAAACATTACATCAAAGCAGAATTTAAATGAAAATATAGAAAGCCATTTGGACCCTATGTTATGTGATGTCAATGAAACCTATAGTCTGAAAAATAGAGATATGATATAGTGGGGGCTGTGGGATCACATAGTAACATGTTAGCCACATTCTCCCATAACCCTGATTTCACTGAACTAAGACAAAGATGGGAGGTGAGTTATTGAATTGAGAACTATATGGAACTTTTTCACAAAAGTGCATTAAAAGAGTGTCTTGGAGTCAAAAGAAATAAATATAACCTTCTAAGACAGAGAAAACGACTATTGTAGTGGTCCCTATTGTTCATTTCCTTCATAGATTAGAAGAATGAGTGTTGTAGAAGCCAATAACATTTCTGGGCCTGTGAGTGAATGTATCCTCCTGGGCTTCCCCTGCAGCAGGGAGATATAGATCCTCCTTTTTGTGGTCTTCTCCCTCATCTACCTTCTGACCCTCATGGGTAACACATCCATCATCTGTGCTGTGTGGTCAAGCCAGAAACTCCAACACCTATGTACATCCTCTTGGCCAACTTCTCTTTCCTGGAGATCTGCTACATTAGTTCTGATGTGCCCAAAATGTTGGCCAATCTCATCTCCCAGATCAAGAGCATCTCCTATGCTCGCAGCCTGCTCCAGTTCTACTTCTTCTCCATGTGTGCTGCAGAGGGCTACTTTCTGTCTGTGATGTCCTCTGATCGGTTCCTTGCCGTCTGTAGACCTTTGCATTACCCCACCATCATGACTTACCACCCGTGTGCCCGATTAGTGGTCTTCTGCTGGGCAGGTGGTTTTCTATCTATACTGATGCCTGCAGTGCTTATGTCCCGAGTGCCTTTGTGTGGTCCTAACATCATTGACCATTTTTTCTGTGACCTGGGGCCATTGCTGGTACTGTCCTGTGCCCCACTTCCCAAAACTGCTCTGACTCGTGCTACAGTAAGCTCTCTCATCATCTTCATCACCTTCCTCTACATTCTTGGATCCTATATCTTAGTTTTGTGAGCTGTTCTGCAGGTCCCAGCTGGCTCAGGCAGGAACAAAGCTTTCTCTACATGTGCTTCCCATTTCTTGGTTGTTTCTCTGTTCTACGGCTCAGTCATGGCGATGTATGTGAGTCTAGGCTCCAGGAGCCACCCTGGGACACAGAAATTTGTGACATTGTTTTACTGCATGGCAACCCCATTCTTTAATCCCCTGATCTACAGCCTCCGGAACAAAGATATGAAAGATGCACTTCAAAAAGTGCTTGGAGTGCCATCAAAAGAAATATCTTGAAACACACAGAAATGATATACATTCTTCTACCATTATTCCATAAGAAATGCAAAATTTCTCTCATAAAAAAAAACTATTTTCTGGTGATGTCTGAGCATTTGGCTTCTTACTCTCATAAAAGCATGACTCATTACACACAAAGAGCCCTGATCCTATCTCAAAGCAAAAAGTAAATGCAGTCCTAAGGTTCATTGTAGGTAAGCTCTGTACAATTTTTATTCATCTATGTATCATTTTTCCCTTTTGGAGATTTTTTTAAGTCCTAAAACTATATGTAATTCAGTTGGATATACAAAGCTAAGACCCATGTTTCTAATTTGTATTTTGGCCTTATCCTAATGCAACTTTATGTATTTTAAATGTGTTTCAAATTTATCAACTATTCTTTCCTTGCCAACTCTAGGTTTTTCTATAATGAAAAACAGCACTACTCACTGTACTCACAAAAATTAAATTGCTTTATCTATGATATCAATGACCAAGAATCTGTCACTGAAATAGGAATTTTTTTCATGTGTATTTTCCTTATTACTAAGTATTGGTAAGATGTTCATGGTGCGCAGCAAGTAAAAACTAGAAATGGTATAGTTTCTTAAGGGAAATTCCTGGCCCAGCTCTGAAGAGAATACATAGAAAGGCATGCATACGTTCACATATGCCAAATAATTAAATATTTCTTACTCAAACCTGGGCTTCCATACTTTCTAAGCTTATAGTGAAGGAACATTTACTGTTACAGAAAATAAACATGGGATACCAGGGAATCGACTCTATCAACCAAAATATAAGCAACCTTAAAGCAGTCACCACTTAACATAAACTTCTTTACTTAACCTGATCATCTGCCAACACTCTGAACTTTCATGTTTTTAACTAAGGCACAAATATTAGGGGGAAAGGAAAAAGAGGTGTTTGTGATGTTGTCTCCTATACGTTGAAGAGAAAGTTAATGATTTGACTAAAAATATCCAGTCTACATTAGACTTCATATTCAGGTTTTTTCTATGAACATATACCTCTTTTATTATTTTATTTGTTAAATTTTATTTCCAATGAACACATGATAATTATGTATTTATGGGAGGCAATGTGATGTTTTGATAACCATTCACATTGTGAAATGATTAAATCAAGCTAATTAATAAATTCATCAAATTCATCATCTCCTATACTTATTTTTTGTGGTTAAAACATTTGAAATCCACTCTTTTAGTAGTTTCTAAATATACAGTGGTGCATTATTATTTATTATAGTCACCATTCTATGAAAGAGATCACTAAATCTTATTATTTCCATCTAACTGAATTGTTGTATCCTTTGATCAACATCTCTCCTCCCCTCAGCTGCCTCTCCCCTCCAGCCTTAGTTAACCACCATTCTACTCTCTTTTTTTTTTTTTAAGAGTTCAACTGAATGAGCTATCACCTCATATCTGTTAGAATGGCTATCATCAAAAAGATGAAAGATAAGTATTGCTGAAGGTGCAGAGAAAAGTAAACATTCATGCACTGTTGGCGGAAATGTAAATTAATATAACCATGGAAAACAATATAGAAGTTCCACAAAACACTAAAAATAGAATTACCATATGATTAAGCAATTTCACTTCTGGGCATATATCCAAAGAAACTGAAATCAGTATGTCAAAGAGATATCTGCACTCCCAAATTCATTGCAGCATTATTCACAGTAACCAAGACATGGAAGCAACCTAGGTATTTGTCATCAGATGAGTAGATACACAAAATGTGATACATACACACAGTGGAATACTATTTGGCCCTTAAAAATAGAGAAATTCTGCCATTAGTGACAATGTGGATGAATCTGTAGAACATTATGCTAAGTGAAAAAAAAGCCAGACACACACAGACATCTCAAAATCCTCTTCCAAGTTATTTTGACTTTTGGAATATTTTCTATAATAAAATATGTTAATGGATAAAGCTTCATAGACCACTGTGGAGCTAAGGGAGAATTCAGAGCAACCTGCAATCCCAAAGCACTAGTTCTTCTTGTCCTCTGCGGATTGTAGAGACTATACCCACCTGAGATAACTCTATCAGAGTATAATTCTGCCAGTGTTCTTACTTACATCCAATAAAAGCTGACTCTAGCTGATTATGTCAATGAAAAGGATTTGTTGATGGAGTAGCAGGAATCTCACAGAACCAATGAAAGCTGAACAACCATAATTGAGGCTCAAATTCAAAGATACATATGCAAACCACCATGCAGAACTGGTGATGAAAAACCGACATGACTGCAGCCATGACTGTGCTATGGGCCACTAAGCTGCTACATGAGCACCACTGTCATTCTGTTCTAGGAACTTGTCTTTTCTGCAATAAGTGTGCTTACCTTCTTCATTGTCTTTTTTTTTTTTTTTTTGAGACTGAGTCTTGCTCTGTCACCCAGGCTGGAGTGCAGTAGCACCATCTCAGCTCACTGCAAGCTCCGCCTCCCAGTTCACGCCATTCTCCTGCCTCAGCCTCCTGAGTAGCGGGGACTACAGGCACCCGCCACACCATGCCCGGCTAATTTTTTTGTATTTTTAGTAGAGACGGGGTTTCACCGTGTTAGCCAGGATGGTCTTGATCTCCTGACTTCGTGATCCGCCCGCCTCGGCCTCCCAAAGTGCTGGGATTTCAGGCGGGAGCCACTGCACCTGGCCTCTTTATTGTCATTTTTTATGCCAATATTTCAACATTGTTCCTCTTCCTACTTCTGCTTCTTGATTCAAAGCCTGGTATAGCTGTATCTGGTGGAGCCAAGAGTACATTTCTACACCTTTATGTGCAAGGGAAGCTGGGAGAGCTAATATCTGGCAATATAAACAACAATTACATAAATAGAAGCTCCAAGCCTGATAATATTGGGATTACCTCAAACATAAAAAGGGATGGAGATACTGGGCAGCAAACACACACACACATACACACACAGAGAGAGAGAAAGAGAGACAGAGAGAAAATATCAACTCAAGCCATTTATGTTGAATATCCTGTATCTCTGAGCTATGTTCCCTCTAGAGATCACACAGGATGGAAATTAAATTATCCACCTATGCAACAGCAGTGAAAGGGGAGCAGAATGAGTAAGGGGTAAATCACTGCCTCTTGGGTAGTTGAGGACTTGTCTATCTCATGATGAATGCTGTTAGAAGATACTGTGCTGATTATAAGTTACTACTGCATTATCTGGAGTTCCGAGAGAAAAAGTTACACTAAAGGTAATAAATTATCATCTGGAAAATCTCTGTAAGCTGCAGTGAAATTTAATGTTGTGCACTTGCCTTTCATCCTTCTTAGAACTAGTGAAGAAGATAGAGAGGATTCTTCACTTACTCCTTCACTTTAAGCCAAAAATTCTTAGACTGGGGGGAGGGGTGCCAATGAACCATAATTAACTGAATAACTGAAATCCTCACTCATATCTAAGCTTTCATTGTGCTTGAAAAAGATGTTCATATATAAAACTGAAATATTTTAAAGTATGTTTTGTTTTAGTCTAAATGTTGTGTACATAAAAGCATAAAAGTTTTAATAACCGGGGCTTGCTTAGCTACACTGAAATGAATTATATTGTACTTTGTCATTTTTTAATTATACAAATCATATATTTTACAGTAGTCATTGTAAAGAAAAAAAACACAAAATAATGAAAATTATCATATCTCCACACCTCTACACACACACTTGCCTCCTCAGCAATGTGTTTAGTTTGGTGGATGTATTTCTAAGTCCTATTTCTGTACACTTACATATAAAAGCAAAATCTCAGGGTTTTACATACCTCAGTGGGTATATAAATTGGATTATACCTAAGTATTATTCTACAACTGATTGACCCTCCCTGTACTCTCACCTAAACAGCAATGTCTGAAAGGGAAATTTCATCCAGCTCTGCAGGTACTTCTGTCAGTCTGGGACAAATCAGGACAAAGAAGCTGAAGATACAATTCTTCAGGAAAGACTTTCCCAGAAGCATGGATGTGTAAGGTCACTACTTCCACCACGTAGCACACTCAGTGGGTTCTTTCTCCTACCAAAATCAGGATTTGAATTAGGAAAATCTGTGAAATAAGAGCATGCTTGTTCTCTCCAGGCAAAGAAACTTTATTCTGAAAAATAAAGTCGATTCACTATTTGTTTAACCTCAATATTATTTGAGGTCTATATTTAGTCCTTAGACCTCTTTTTAACCTGTACTATCCAATACAATAGCCACGACTCACATGCGGTTACTGAGCACTTGTAATGTGACTAGTCCTAATTAAGATGTGCTCCAAGTTTGAAATCAAATACCAGCTTTGAACACTTGGTGGAATGAAAGAATGTAAACATCTCATTAATAGTGTTTATACTAATTACATGTTGATATACTATTTTGGGTGAATTGCATTAAATAAAAATACTATTGAAAATTTCGTAGCTGCCCTTCAGCAAGGTGGAGTGGGCGCGCCACGTGCCCTTCTTCCCCGAGCTGCCAGTGGCCGACCAGGTGGCGCTGCTGCGCCTGAACTGGAGCGAGCTCTTCGCGCTGAACGCGGCTCAGGTGGCGCTGCCCCTGCACACGGAGCCGCAGCTGGCTGCCGCAGCCTCCAAGCACAGCCCACCGATCCCGAGTGCGCCGTGGCCTTCATGGACCAGGTGCGCGCCTTCCAGGAGCAGGTGGACAAGCTGGGCCTCTGCAGGTCGACTCCGCCTACTACGGCTGCCTCACGGCCATCGCGCTCTTCACGCGCGACGCCTGTGGCCCACGTGGAGAGCCTGCAGGAGAAGGCGCAGGTGGCTCTCACCGAGTACGTGCGGGCGCAGTACCCGTCCCAGCCCCAGCGCTTCGGGCACCAGCTGCTGCGGCTCCCCGCCCTACGCGCGGTCCCTGCCTCCCTCATCTCCCAGCTGTTCTTCATAGGCCTGGTGGGGAAGACGCCCATCGAGACGCTATACACGCTGCTGTCCGGGAGTACCTTCAACTGGCCCACAGCTCGGGCCAGTGACCACGACGGGGCCGCGTGCGCTGTGGCCAGGCCTGCAGACGGACCTCAAGGGACAGGGAATGCTGAGACCTCCAGGGGCCTCCCGGGACTCAGGACCCTGGCTTCTCTCCTCAGACTTATATTTTTTAATGACTGTGAAATGTTTGTCTTTTCTGTTTTTTAAATGATCATGAAACCAAAAAAAGACTGATCATCCAGACCTCAGCCTCCTCCTCCCCAGGACTCCTGGCCAGGATGGAGGTAAGGGGTGGAGGGTCCAATCCTGGGACAGTCTTGTCCCTCAGCACCTCAGGCATGAACTTCTGGGACGGTGGGGTTGGCTTCCCTGGCATGATGGACAAAGGCCTGGTGTCTGGACCGGAGGGCCGCTGCAGCGAGCAGGAGTAGCTAGCATATGCCAGGCAGATCCTCTGGACACGTAATCTACCTCAGACAATACGTGATGACTCGATCAAGGCCGATAATAAAGACATTTCCTGCTAAAAAATAAAAAATAAATTACGACCGGGCACGGTGGCTCACGCCTGTAATCCCAGCACTTTGGGAGGCCAAGGCGGGAGGATCACAACGTCAGGAGTTCGAGATCAGCTGGCCAATGTGGTGAAACCCTGTCTCTACTAAAAGTACAAAAATTAGCTGGGCATTGTGGTGGGCGCCTGTAGTCCCAGCTACTCAGGAGGATGAGGCATCACTTGAACGCGGGAGGCGGAGGTTGCAGTGAGCCGAGATCGCGCCACTGGGTGACAGAGTGAGACTCCATCTCAAATTAATTAATTAATTAATACTAAAATAATTTTAACCAGTTTTTCTTTACCTTTATTAATGTGGCTTCCTGAATATTTAAAATGATTTATGTGGGTCACATTATATTTTTATTGAACAGCGCTGATTTAGACTGATGTCAAAGATTTCAATAGCTCTAAATACCATTACTATGTTGACAAGTCTCAAGTTTTTATCTCCACTCCCAATCTTGTCTCATACCTCAAAACTTGCATATCCAATTGCCTACTTAAATTTCCACTTTGATGTTTATTAGTTTCTAAATGTACTTCCTATCCTTTATTTCAGTGTACCTGCTTCAGCCATGATCTTGACATAGGATGAGAAACTCTGGCTAATGTACATACATGAAGTGTGGGTTAGTCTTGTTCTGTCATGAGACAAAGTAGATTTCCCTAGTATATATATGTAACCTGGTAATATTTATATAACTACATATATAAGTACTTACATTGTCATTCCTTTCCCTTTTCCAAGTGGAAATAACCACTTTAATTGAAAACCTGGATACTGCTAACCAAATCTAACTTTGTGTATAACATAAATTTAAATATAGTACATATAATTTTAAAATTAAAATAAACATTTCCATATTTTAACAAAAAGTCAGTAGGCAATGATTACTTAAGGTTATTTTTTGAGATATTAAATTTATCCTTTTTACCTTCTTCTTAATGCCAAGAAAGATAATTTTTGTTCCAAGGATACACTTCCTGAGATTACCAAAGTGCTCCCCGGGGTTGTCCTTCCCCAGGTTATGTCTTTATTCCTGTCAACATTCATGTATAAGAATTCTGGGATCGGCCGGGCTCGGTGGCTCAAGCCTGTAATCCCAGCACTTTGGGAGGCCGAGACAGGCGGATCGCGAGGTCAGGAGATCGAGACCATCTTGGCTAACACGGTGAAACCCCGTCTCTACTAAAAAAATACACAAAACTAGCCGGGCGAGGTGGCGGGCGCCTGTAGTCCCAGCTACTCGGGAGGCTGAGGGAGCGTGCAGTGAGACTGAGGATCCGGGCCACTGCACTGTCCAGCCCTGGGTGACATGAGCGAGACTCTGTCTCAAAAAAAAAAAAAAGAATTCTGGGATCTCAGACATCTTCAACCCAAACAGCCCACAGAGATTCAAACCAGTCTTGAATCTGCGGCATTTTTCAGTGGTGCATCTTCAGGCACATTTTTAAACCAAACTTCTTGCCTTTCTTAATAGCCACTATTTGGATTTGGATCTCTTAAGTGTACTTGTTAGAGCATTTCCACACTCATTTTGATGACTGCCTTGCTTTCTTGCTCACCTTAAACTTGAAATAGGCAGGCCAGAACTCCCTCACTTCCTGTAGGTCTCCTTAAAATTTAGCTTAAATGAAGCCTTCCCAGACTATCCTATTTAAAAGAGCATCCCCACTCTCACTAGTATCTATTCCCATCACCTGCTTTGCCCTTCTTCAAAGAATGTATCACCACAGGAAATATTGTATGCTATAAATTTATTTCTCTATTTCTTGAACCCTGCTTTCCCATACTGTAATATAAACTGCATGAGAATAGATATCACTGCTATAGCTTCAGTGCCCAGATAATGCCTAATACGTAATAGGAGCTCAATAAATGTTTGTTGAATGACCTTGTTAACTCAATAATTGAGTTATTACTATTGCAGAAGCCATTCAGGAGCAGTAAAAAGATAGTATAGCTCATACTTCCTGCCCTAAAGAAACTTATATTCTAACTGGTAGGAAAGTCAAAAATAGCACAAACAATGCTGCAATAGATACCCAAAAGGCAGACCAATTTTGAGTAAATATTTGGCAAAAATCAAAAGGCAATGAATTTAGAAAATAACATTATGATATACTGTAGTGGGCAAGAAAAGTTTTATAAGTGGTATATAAAAATGGACAAGGTATGAATAGAACAATTTTGAGCTCAGGTTGCAAAACTAAGATTATACTCTGTGACTTAGAGAGAGTGAGTCAAATGGGAGTGATGAGACATGTATTAAAGTAAAAATAAAGTTTAAGAAGAAATTGGGAAGAACCTTAAATCATATACAAGCTAAGGAATTTGGGATTTTTCCTGTGTTTAAGTAGAGAGAAAATAAGTGACTGACAGAAAGGAGGTTTAAGAATAGAATTCTGGAATTTGACATGGGAGATGACAGAAACAGACCATTTATAAAGTGATTATGCCATCAGAGATACAGCATGCTAGGAACCTGCACAAAAAATGATGGGCGTAAAGATGACAAATGATCTCAGGGAAGATGCTTAATCCGTTTAATGACAGATTAGGAGTGGGAATGAGATGGTAAGGAATTCTATTGTCAAGATTTCAAGTTCATGCTATAAATCAATAGATCCATTAGAGAATAAGGTGGCTAGAGCTAATTTAAAAGGAGATTAACAAATTTAGGATTAAACGTTTGAATTTGAAATACATCTTCATGTAAAAATATCCAGCAGGATGCTGCAGATATTTAACTACACTTTGGTAGTAAAGTCAGTGCTGGAGTTACCCTAGAATCAAGATTTAGCCAAGATTTCCTCATGGAATGCAGTAATAATAATTACTATTATTATTAATAAATTGCTACTCAGAAAAAAAAAAAACCACAAGAAATTAAAGGGTAGAAATTACCCCTAAGGAACACTTTTCCAGAGTTTTACTAAGAACTACACAAAAAAAATAAGTGCACAATAGGCCTAGATTGTCAGTGATCTCACAGATTCTGTAGCTCTTTAGTTTGCTGTGGGCATCAACTGACCTTCTTGTGTCCACTTATGCTAAAGTGTTAGCATTGGCAAAATGTGAGGTGTCAATGAAGTCAACATAATATTATTGAAGTCCCTTGTTAGTCCCGGAAGTTATACTTCAAATTATAAACAATACAAAGGTAGAGCCTTAAAATTGTCCCTGAATTGTTGAGGGTTTTTGTGGGGTGGGTGTGTGGGGGTGTGTGTGTGTGTGTGTGTGTGTGTGTTTTAATCTGGTAATTTGAAGGATCGGTGGAAAACTATTTGTACAGTTCCAATACATTCAACAATTGCTATGCTCTCAAAAAAAAAAAAAAAAAAACTTGTTTCAATGAAGGCGGAATCTGAGGATGTTGAAAAATACCAAGCAGCATGTATTGAAAACCAAAAGAGTAAGCAGAAGCTCAGTTTTAGAAAAACAGATGAAAATATTAAGTAGAATTGCAAAATTTTAAAAATCTATTTAAGGTACAAACATATCTGGAACATAATAGTAATAACTTCCTAAGACTGAAACCATGGGTCCAATTAATTCTTTCAAATTATCTTCCCAATATATAAAAGTAGAATAAAATGAAAAAAAAAAGCATGATTTCATTGGTCTCATGAGCTTTCATCCTCCTAAACATTAATGATGCATTATATTAAATTTGACTCTTGGATCCTTTAGAAATTTCCTACTGTAACACATACAGAAATTTCTTTAGTGCCTCTTTCATATCCTTATTCTGGAAACTGTAGATCAGGGGATTAAAGAATGGAGTTGCCAAAGCATAGAACAAGGTCACAAATTTCTGTATCCCACGATAGTCCCCAGAACCTGGGCTAACATACATCACCATAAGGGAACCATAGAAGAGAGACACTACAGCAAGGTGAGAGCCACAAGTTGAGAAAGCCTTATGCCTTCCTAAGCTTGAGGGCACCTGTAGCACTGTGCTTAGGACACACAAATAAGTCCCAAGGATATACAAGAAGGTAAGAAAGATGATGAGAGAGCTAATGATACCACAAGTCAGAGTAATTCCAGGTATTGGAGCACAAGACAGTGCCAGCAAAGGTGCCAGATCACAGAAAAAGTGGTCGATAGTGTTTGGACCACAGAAGGGCACCTGAGATATGAGTGTCAAAGGGGTCAGTAACCAGAGACAGCCACCCACCCAGCAGAAGATCACAAATTGAGCACAAACGTGATGGGTCATCAGGGTGGGATAGTGCAAAGGTCTACAAATGGCAATAAACCTATCAAAAGACATCACTGACAGAAATAAGCACTCTGCAGCGCACATGGAGGAGAAGAAGTAGAACTGGAGCAGGCAGCCGGCATAGGAGATGCTCTTTGTCTGGGAGATGAGATTGGCCAACATTATGGGCACATCAGAACTGATGTAACAGATCTCCAGGAAGGAGAAATTGGCCAGGAGGATGTACATAGGTGTGTGGAGTTTCTGGCTTGACCACACAGCACAGATGATGGATGTGTTACCCATGAGGGTCAGGAGGTAGATGAAGGAGAAGACCACAAAAAGGAGGATCTGAATCTCCCTGCGGCAGGGGAAGCCCAAGAGGATGAACTCATTCACAAATCCAGAGATATTAGTAGTCTCCAAGGTCCTCATTGGTCTGG